CAGAGCAAACTAATTTATGCAGTAGCCAAATCACTCACAACTTTAATGCCAGGAGCTCACAAAGTAGGATTTTTGCTCACAAGACTCCACAGCTTAGAGGGAGCACTGATTGCTTCCCTCCTACTTGGGTCTCCACTGCAGAGAAAGACTGTATTTTTCCTAGGTAGAGGCTGAATGGGGGGAGGGAGATGGAAAGCTGAAGTCAAGAGGGGCAGATAAAGTTAGGTTGATGGTCGGTTGGGAAAGAGATAGGGTTGCCATCTCCAGGTTGGAAAATTCCTGGATATTTGAGGGGTGGAGCTTGGAGAGGGTGGGGTTTGAGGAGGCGTGGGACCTCAGACAGGGACACTGCCATAGACTGTACCCTCCAAACCAGCCATTTCCTCCTGAGGAACCATTGTTGCCAATCTCCAGATGACACAACAAACAAAAATAGTGAATAATGAAAACAAGTAGGCAAAATGTGTGTGTGTGTGTGTGTGTGTGTAAAAGAAAATACATTAACAATAATAAAGTCACAACTTTTCAGTATTCAGAGACAATATCAACATTCAAAGTACATATTGCATGTAAAAGTCCAAATTCATATCAAAGCAAGTCATAACAGTCAACATGAAATAAAGTTGTTTGTATAGATAAAGTGCTTGTGTAATTCTTATCAATAAGATAGGAATGTTCCTTCTTCCTTTAACAATAACGTCAACTTGGAAATCATTTTGCAAAATGCTTCTACAGAAGCGAATGCAGGAACATAATATTCACAAATTTAGAGAGTTCAACAAAGCTAGTTTCACATCAAGCACCGAAGCTGGAGCAATATGCATAGTGAAGATTTGAGGGGTGGAGCCTGGAGAGGGTGGGGTTTGAGGAGGGGTGGGACCTCAGACAGGAACAATGCCATAGACTCCACCCTCCAAACCAACCATTTTCTCCCATGGAACCACCGTTGCCAATCTCCAGGGGAGAGCTGGAGATGACTCAGAATTACAACTGCCCTCCAGATGGCAGACATCAGTTCCCCTGGAGAAAACGGTGAACAGTGTCATTATACACTGCTGAGGTTGTCACAGCAAATTGACGCTGAGTGCTCAAGGCTGGGGCACCTACCCAGAGCCTCTTTCTAGCGCCCACTGTATTAATTTCCACAACGAGCCTTACTCCTAGTCATTATATAAATAAGCCAAGACAACTTGGTCTCTGGAAGCTGCTAAAAATATTTCAGTCCAACTTAAACTTGTTGTTTAAGATGGATTGTTCTCAACGATCCTCAGATTTATAAAATCTAAGTCCTTTAAGAAAGAGTTATGTTAGGAATAACAGGCAGACCTTTCTGAAAGCTGTTGTCTTAGCTTTTCCTGAGACACCTTGATACTCCAGTTTGATCCCTTATCAAAATTCTAAAAGGTGAGAAGACATCCCATAAAGCTGACTTGCAACAGGGCGGAAGAACTTCTTGTATACTTCATGCCTGTAAGGCAGAGATGTTCTGCCAGGTTTGTGGTTGAGGACATCAATGGTTTTCCATCATAGCTGGCACACCCTCCTTTTTTCCATTCTGCCCATTTTGGCCTCCCTAACCTGCCCACTACGTAGAATAACAGTCCAGAGTAGGTTTTTGGATTAAATTATGGACACTATAAAAGGTAAAGGTTCCCTTGGTCGAAAGCCAGTCGAGTCCGACTCTAGGGTTGCGGTGCTCATCTCCGTTTCAAAGCCGAAGAGCCAGCGCTGTCCGAAGACGTTTCCGTGGTCATGTGGCCGGCATGACTAGACACCAAGGTGCACGGAACGCTGTTCCCTTCCCACCGAAGCGGTCCCTATTTATCTACTTGCAATTTCTTGCTTTCGAACTGCTAGGTTGGCAGGAGCTGGAACTAGAGACGGGAGCTCACTCCGTCATGCGGCACACTCTGGTCTCGAACTGCTGAACTACTGACCTTCCACAGCCTGCAGTTCAGCATCTTAACCACTTGAGCCACCGCAGCTCCTCACAGACAGGTAGGCCATGGCAAACCATCTCTGACCGTCTCTTACGTTGAAAACCCTACATGGTCACCATAAGTCAGCTGCAACTTGACAGCACCTTCCACCACCCCCTCCCCTTCTCAGGGGCAGAGCGCCTCAACGCCAGATGCTGCCGCCAGACGGGAGGGGCTAGCCGTCACTTGCACACCCTGTCCCAGAGAGATTGACTGGCTGCTTTCCGCACTGAATACTGGAATTACGTCGACCTTTAAACCTGATCCAGTCGATGGCTTGTTATGTACTTTTTTAAAAACTGCAAAAAATAAAATCAAAGGTTAAAGAGTAGTCATGGGTTAAAAAGAATCACCAGACAAATGGCCTTGAAAGTTTATTAAAAATCAAAGAATACAAAACTTCACATAAAAATATGTATTTTAGCTTTCCACATCGTTATACACACACAAAAGAATAACATGATATCTTAAACAGCTGCCCACAGTGCTATTGAACATAACCCACGTGGTAGCCAGTGCAATTTATTGGTTTCCCCATGACTCTAATGGAACGTGATACCTGCTTCTCTTAAAACTATCCTGTTTTTAAAGATGGACACTATTTCATACACTGAGGTTTCTGTAATGGAGGTACATACTCAATATTGCTAGCATGTAAGAATGGTACAGATCTGTGTTATCAGCCCTTGAATACTGGTTTATTCAAGCTTCAGTCTTTTCTTGTGCCAGCATCTCTTTAAAGCAAGCAAGCAGTCAAGGCAAAAAAGGCAGGCATCCAAGAGGCCTGAGATCTCGGCAATTCAAAATTCAATCACTGTTGATATGCTTGCCAGTTATGATTCATCTTCTAGAATATCTGTGGCATCTCCCCCAGGGAAGAACAAGCACGGCTGTATTTTCCTCTGGCTGTGGCGCCTTGAGCAGCTATAATGCAGATATTGCCAAAGGCAGGGTCCCTCGAAACCGCTTTTCAACAAGTCCTTCGAATCTGATGTTGTACGTGCAGCCCTTAAGATCATAGCCCGGATGTCCAAGTGTCGTTCCCAGAGCAATTAACATCAGATAGCTTGCTTCCCACTGCCGACTGCTCAACTGACGCACTGCGCATTTCCAAAGCTTCTGCCTCTGTTCGTTTTTGCCTGTCGAAGGAATTTTGTACTTGCAGACTTTACCTTTCCCAACAGATGCTGGCACAGTTAGGTCATACACGTTATTCCTCTCCCGTAATATCGAAACAGCAGCGTACATCCAATACGAATATGAATGCTCATTAATGAACAGTTGTACAGTTTTAAAAGTTGTAACTGTGATAAAACTCTGAATCAAGATGAAGTGCAGACGTCATGTGCTACTCTATAGTTTGGAATGTCACACTCTCCTCCTCTTATGGACCCAAAAGCTTCCGCCTTCCATTTTGACAGGTTTCTTTAGTGTGTGCCATGCTGGCGCCCAAGGAAGATATTAAAGCTTACTTTCACAGAAATAATGCCATCTCAAACATTCAAAGATCAGTTTTTAAGAACATTTGTTTCTGCATTTCAGAAAGACAGAAGGTGATCAAGATGATTCTCTGTTTAAATATTCTTTCCACACTCCTAGCTCAAGCAGAACTACTGGGACAGTGCTCTGGAGATTTAAGAACTTCCATTAAAAAAAAAAAAAAAGCATGAGAAGATGTGACCAACGGCAATGAGGTGCTTTTTAAAAACTCCGGACTATGGAGGATGTATGGGGGGTTTTTTGCTTTAAAAAAGTTAAGAGTTGTCATGGCGATATACAGTTGCATAGTATACCTGTATGCATCTGAGAAAGAGAGTGACTGTGTGCATTGGGGGGGGGGGAGTGCCCCTTCTGCAAGACAACAAAGAGTTACTTTAAAAGCACAGAGAATCTGAAGTGTACATTGCAGGCATTTGCTCCTGACACAAATAATGCACACCGCAATACAGATTCCTCAGCAGAACCAACATCATTCCTTTCTCCCCATTCTTTAGGTTGGGTATTTTAGTCAACAACATTGTTTGGACCCAATCAGAGTACAAATCATAACCCACCGTTCGTTAAATATTTGAAACTTGCTCTGACCAAGAAAGAAAGAAAAAAAAACATAACAAAAAAGGCCTTTTTAATAAACCGAAGGCACAACCTGGTGAGATGTTCTACTCTGCGATCCCCGTTGAAGTGAAGAAGAGTTGTACAAGATCACTGGATTGTGCCCAATCTTCTTCGACGGAGCCAAACTGGTGCCGGACGATGAGTGAGCAAAAAGCAAGGGTCAAAACACTTTAGAGTGTCGTCCTTTTTGAAATAAAACATTAAGCAAAACCCGCAGTTCCACTGTAAGTTAAAAAACCCTCGGCGTCAGCAACGTGATGGGAGTCGCTCGGGCAGCCCCTCCGGAACTGTGAACCCAACTGAGAAAACGCAGACTGGGAAAGAATGCGTGGGAGCAAAAGCAAAACTGAAAGAGTCCCCCCCCCCTTGCGCCCCAAATTCGCCATCTCTTAACATAACTTAGTCATACCATTATGCAAGTTAAAATAGTTCGAGTTATTGAGCTGAAGTTATGTCTGGATACAGGCAAAGTGAACAAAGAAACGGGAGCCAAAAAAGGGGGGGGGGGAGCAGCACAAAAAGTGACACACAGATCCCCCACGAGAGAAAAGTAAAGTTCGAACCATCTGTCTTTTTTCCCGACGAAACGAAGAAAACCCCACGACAAACAAGCGCGGCTGCAGCACGAATGCCACGGCGCTTATGGTCCTCGCGCAGTATTCACGCCAGAGCTGCTTTGGCACTGTAGTATGTCATGGATGGGGAGAAGACAAAACTTCCACGTCTGTATAAGGCTTCACAGTTAAGCACGATAAAATTTCTTTTTAGATGGACTCCACCACCACACAAAGAAACATGCAAATGTTGGATGCAGATATTTGGCAACACCCTCAAACTGATGCTCTCGGTGCTGGTCTCGAGTCCCCCCACCCCACCCCAGCCTGGCATCACACTCCATGGCTTCGTCAAGAGCAGACACCCCCCACCCCACCCCCTGAAGTCGGCCATTATCTGCTAAGGCTAATAGGCAAACTGTCTCTATGCTTCTTTCTTCTCCAGATATTACGGTTATATTGGTGGTGACCTCTGTTGCCGACCGGCTGCCTCATGATTCCATTGCTGGCAGAATTGTATTCAGTGCACTGGTGAGCACCTTTCAAGGGAAACTTCACTCCGGTGTGCTGCTGGAAGAAGAAGAAGAGGAGGAGGACATTGGATTTATACCCTGCCCTTCACTCAGTCTCAGAGCGGCTTACAAACTCCTCTCCCTTCCCCTCCCCATAACAGACACCCTGGGAGGTAGGTGGGGCTGAGAGAGCTCTGACTGAAGAAGAGGAGATTGGATTTATACCCCGCCCTTCACTTGGGAGTCTCAGAGCGGCTCACAAACTCCTTTCCCTCCCCCTCCCCACAACAGACACCCTGTGAGGTGGGTGGGGCTGAGTGACTGAAGAAGAGGAGATTGGATTTATATCCCACCCTTCACTTGGAGTCTCAGAGCGGCTTACAAACTCCTCTCCCTTCCCCTCCCCACAACAGACACCCTGTGAGGTGGGTGGGGCTGAGAGAACTCTGACACAAACTGCTCTTTTTCAAGGACAGCTGTACCAGAGCTTGTGACTGACCCAAGGTCACATCAGCAGGTGCAGATAAGAGTCCACGCACTTAACCACTACACCAAACTGGTATAAGAAGAATTCAAGATTATGGCCTGATGAAAACCTACACATCTCACTAACTTTGCCTCCTACCCTTTATCAAGGACAGCGTCATATCAATGCACATACTCACAAGTTCTGCTTTTCACCTACACAAAGTTACAACATGTTTCAAGGAAAAACAGTCTAGAACACTTCCTAAACAAAAATGGCATAAACTTAATCCAAGTGCTCCTACTGCTCTGTGACCACTACTATCAATTATCGGACTCCATCGGGCAGCACGTACCTGATTATTAGTTGCCATAATCAAGGTTCTCGCAGGCACAGATTGCGTTTTACCACTTGGCAGAGGCAACGCGGGTGGCAAACTGACCGTAAACTGAGACGGTGCTCGCAGATTGAAGTGGTACACATTAGGTGTTGTGCAAGGTGGAGTATCCGAATCCTTGGGACACAGAAAAGGGGGAGGGGGAATAGAAGGTTTGTGTTTTTTTGAAAAGAAAGGAAACGTAATGTTGACTACTCATTTAAAAACAGCAGTGTATAAATTAACACCGAACTTCAGAAGACCAAGGAAGTTGCCTCTTCTAAAAGTCCTATCTTAACGCTTGAACTCTTCTTCAAAAAAAACATTCATACATTCATGGTCACCTTCCTTTTGAATAAATATTCTGGGACTTAGAAAAATAATTCCAAAGTACTTCTTGATGATTATTGGAATGGCACAAAACTAGACCAAGGGAGAAGCCTCTTTGCTTTCAGTTTGAGGAAGGTTGATCTTGCACTGAGTCCTGGCCGCAACAAACAGATCTCTAGAGCAGGTTCAGAGGAAAATCAGGTTTTGGGGAAAGGTTGAATTTTAGTCCTGCATCTTGCAGTCTAACACTGTCAGAGAACATCTGTTGGGCAATGCTTAGCGCAACATGCACTCCTTTAGAAAGAGGGCACAGCTCATAAAAATGCACCTCCTGCCTTACCAGGAAACGAAAAAGACTTTCTTTCCAGTATGTAGGTTTTGGAGGGGAATGACTGGCTAAGTGGCACCAAGCATTTTCCTTCATGATTTAGTTATGGGGGGTAATACAGGCATGACTGTACGCTGAGGAATCAAATGCTAGCACTTTAATAAGTTGTACAACTTGTGTTTGACTGGATTTTGTATGGTATATTGTATTATTATATTGTACTGTTCTATATCGCTGTGTAAGGCGCCCTGAGCTGGCCTTGCTGGGAGGGCGGGGTAAAAATCTAATAAAATAAATTGATAAATTTTATTTTTATTTTTAAATATTTTTAAAATTAGATGTCTGAACCGCCCTTTCTTGTGTAGGAAGGCTCAGTGGGGTACGACAAATTAAAACAATAATCAGATTGTTAAAAACGATTTCATACCATGATAATCAAACCTAAAATCAGATGGGGTCTTCGGCACTGACCAGTGTTCCCTCTAAGCTGAGTTAGTGTGAGCCAGCTCACAGTTTTTTTCAGCCTCCGGCTCACAGATTTTTGTCTTCGCTCAGGAAGGATGGGGCTCCGGAGCTAACTGATTCATGCAGTAGCCAAATGGCTCGCTCACAACTTTAATGCCAGGAGCTCACAAAGTAGAATTTTTGCTCATGGGACTCCACAGCTTAGGGGGAGCGTTGGCACTGACCAGGTGGGGTTGTGCACCTGTGTCGTTTACAGAGCTGGTAATGAGTGGTGAGATGGAGAGGGGGGGAGAGGAGAGCCGGGGGGAGACCAGTCTAGATGGAAAACCTCGGCTGCCTCAACTGGCAGAACCCTTCAGTTTTACAGGCCCTGCGGAACTGAACCAGATGCCGCAGGGCCCGGATCTCACCTGGAAGGGGGTTCCACCAGGCTGGGGCCAGTGCTGAGAAGACCCTGGCCCAGGTTGAGGCGAGACTAATGCTTTGTGAGCCGGGGAGTGCCAGAAAGGTGTTGCTCGTGGAGT